TAAAGATAGCCCTGCGAAGGCCCCAAATCTTGAAACACTTCGAGACTGAAAGTCATGAAGCCCAGGTCCGAGAGAGAGTCTGGTGAGATAGAGGAGCTTTCGGCAGTAAAGCGGTTCACAGCATCATCTTTGGGATCTGCAAATGTAGAGCTTTTGATCCACGCCGTTAGGTCCTGGGTTTGGGGCTTGAGAAAACATATAAAGGTATATACATGGCAAAAACGAATATTCGTGGATGGTAGTTTCGATCGGTTCTAAAGGGTTCAGGGGCATGGGGGGATGCAATTCACGGTCTGTTTATTGGGATCCTTTTAGAGTGGGTTGGCGTTTGGTGTTGAGAGTTGCTTTTAAGGTCGGCTCAATTTGCTCTTGGCGTACAGGGCTCAAGATTTGGGCTGTCTGGCCTCGGCATTCATGCGACAAAGTGTGTCGGATGCTTGAGTCTAGCATTGAGCGCTTCCATGTTGGGCCAAGAGCCGCCTGTTAAAGGGTTGGAAGTTTGCGGTTTCTGATGGTTTGCGGGTCGGGATGCGTGCCTTCAACGATAAGATAGCTTCTGAGGGATGACGCAGCGCAGCTAACGTCATTCTAGTCCCGTCAACAGCACCATGCACGCATGGCTTGTTTCGCTGTAGCATCTAGATTTCCAGTTGAGGTCTGCGGAGGCCAATGCCTTAACCAAGAGCCGTGAGCCCTGAAGACATGGCCAGCTCCCATGACAGGAGCTCAAGGAGCTCTTGTCACCTACCAGTGAGGCTCCACGGGAAAACTTGGCAAGTATGTGGTCGTGTGGGTTACAGGTTTAGATTCATAGGGTCACAGGGTCTCACAATTGGAAGAGCTTAAGGTCAGGCCGCAGGACCCTAAAGCTAAACCGTGGAATCAAGAGAATCTATCTAGCTTGCTCAGCCCTCTGTTCAAGTTAAATTGAATGAATCGCACTTCCTAGGACGCAGCCCTTGTATACACATGCAAGTTTAGGGGAAGATCAGCAAGCTAACAATTGTCTTGGTGTCTACTCCGGCTCGCAATTCTTCGCGCGATGCTGAGGAGTAACGGGCTTACCTACGCGCTTTGCCAAACCCTCATCCTGCAGGGTGTTGACCAAAATTCTAATTCGAGGACCAGCTTCGTCCTTGTTTCTTGACCCGATTAGGATCAGGTTGAGGTTGACTACCATGTCTCCCGATGCAGAATTGTTGAAGGCAACATCTCCACAGCTGAACTGAGTTAAGCTTCAGGCTGAGCTTCCAGGCTTTGGAGCTTAAAACGTTCCTTGCTCAGGACCCTGCAACTCCATAACCAAATGCAGAAAGTCTGAACCCCAAATCCCATGCACGCCTCATTGCTCTTCACGCGTGAATTGCCTAACCTCATAACCACAAATCACTCAAGACTCACCCCTCGAGACCTGAATGCTGCGCCCTGACAAACTCCAAGCTCAGCCCAAGCCCTACGCCTTTAATCCCCAGGCGTTAAATGCTTAGACGCGGAGCCCCTAACTGCTAAACTCCCTTTTGGACACTACGCCGACGCACCGCCAGCCTAAAATTTTCCTAATCTCGTACAGACCCTGGGATGCACATGGCAGCCCACATAAAAGATGCCCTGACCCCAAGCGGCACACCAAGAAGGAGTCCTAGAAGTATGGTTGAGACGGGCTACCCCCCCCATGCCTGGTTGGGACTTTACCCTAAACCCTGAGTACCTAATATCTCAACCACACATCCCTAAGCCCTAAGACCCAGCAACCCATGAACCACAACTCCCTACATTCCCAACTCTTTAGCTTCTTCCCCGCTCTCTCTCGGCCAGGCTCTGCATGGAGTGCTCCTGGCGGAGGATGCCGAGGATGAGGTCTGCCATTCTCCCGCACTGTTTGGGGGTCTTTCCCTGCATGCGCTGCTGAAGTCTCGGGACAAAGCGTCAACCCTCAAAACTATGAATGCCTCAAGACAAAAAAGCTCCACTCCAGCTCCGAACTCCAAACCCAGAACTGGAAGTATTCATCACCATCCAACTAGTGCTTATGCTTCCTTGCTGATTGAAGAAGTGGAATTTTGAACCGCCAAGCCCTGCATCCTCAGCCAGCAAACAACGAATTGCGTCTACTTCTTATAAACCCCCAAGGGGTGACGGCAAATTTCGCGAATCCCCTGATTTGGCGCAGGTTTGGATGGTGCTGTCCAAGCTTCTCGGGCGAGCGGGCCTTGAAGAGGCAGCGCAGATTTTCGCCAGGACCTCGCTTTTCTTCAAAGTTGCCAAAGTCGTATGGCCCCGGGAGGGTTTAGGGCTGGGCTCAGAAGGGTCCAGGGTAGTATTGGCCGTTGCCCACACGTGTCGCATATGAGGCTGGGCTTGTATGTATTTGTTGTGACGTTGTGTGACGTTTTTGGTGATATGAGATTGCGGTCAGCTGAGCTCTACAGCCCGAATCCAAACTAGCGGGAGAAGCACCGGCATGAGGAAATGAGTAGTCTTCCGGGATTTTCTGGCCCTGCAACAATATGTTCTTGTCACCACCTTTACTCATGGTTTTCTGAACATTACTTGCATTCATTGCTAAGCATCATCCCCGCACTAAGCCTTATGAGAAAGCACAAAAAGTGTTGATCTCCACGAGGCACTTTGCAAGACTGCACAGATGCTTTATTCAAACAAGTTGCAATCTCTTCGATAAGCCACCATAGTCGAAGCAGCAGATCATTTGAGATGCTGTCAGGATCTGCCTCCGCTGCAAAAATCAAGTGTTATACAGGCGCTCCTACTAGGAGTTGTTGGAGTTGGATGTGCCAATTTTCACCAACTAGACAGCGATGGCTTCATATAGAGGGCGTGCTTGTGTGGTTGTAATAGTAGGAGATTATGCAGAACTCAATGTCTTGAAGACTGAATGAGTTCTCTTGAAACGCGCGCATGTATATTCCAAGCTAAAAGGTTAATTGTGCTTGCCTGCGAACTTCCCACCTCTAGTAGGCTTGTGTGTTTTCTCGGAGCAATCATGTGGCAAACCGTGTGTGTGTGTGTGTGTGTGTGGTATGTATATATATATACACATAAATGTATGCAGATGCACACACAGCTATTGTAGTCCCTAGATTCATTCCGTTGCCCCAATCTAAACTCCTAAGTGTGCACACCTGAAGCCCTTGAACCCTAAGCCTAAGCCCCAAACCCAAACCCTAAACCCTACCCCTTCAGCACAGTGAGTTAGCCATTGTCAGGAGCTGGCCCGCCGTGGGGGCACCTGCAGTGCTTGTGAACCGATGGGTGCGGAGCCTGCTCCAGGCTCGAACGGAATAGGGGATTGGGGTTCAGGCTTTAGGGATTAGGAGCTTAGGGTTTAGGATTGGAAAGAAGGATCTTGGGGAATCGACTCAAATTGGATCTGTCATTTCGGGCTTAGGGTCTAGTGGGCCTAAGGTGCAGGAGGTTGGGAGTCAAGGTCGAGCCCTTCCTTATGGGGGTCGTGCTGGGTTTTTGTTGGTTTTCACAGAATAAAGATTCGAGACACAAGGGAAGGATCGTAAGGGGGAAACTTCATTTGACTCTCAGGGGGCTGGAGCTTTGCCGTTCGTGGCTGCAATCTCTCGGGCCTGTGTTCGGTCTCTTTCCATTGCGACGGCCCAAGATGCCCTACATTCCTCAGTTTCCGGCTTGGTCTGTTTCCAAACCTATGCCGAGCCTCTAGAGTCCATGTCGAATGACAGAGGTGTGTTAGTTCGAGGCTCATAGTCAGTCCTACATGGGGCCACAAGTACCCCAATCTGGGTCATCACTATAGTGTCAAGTGAACCCTTCTCAGAGGTGTCCATTAACCTCCAACTACTATGCCAGCAACATCGAGTAGCCTCCAATGGTGTGTGGGATTTTCAGGGCTGATTGTTTGGAGAGCACTTGCTGAACTCAAGTGCCCCCAGCGCACTCACCAGTTGCCTGACTAGAAGCCCCTTGGCCGCGAATGTGCCATTCTTTACAAGGATGCCCCACATAGACTACACCAATCTTGCGGACCCCCCTCAATACAGTCACCAAAACCATAGCAGAAATGTACATCCTGCAACGTTCCAGTGTCGTGCTTAAGACCCTAGATCTTTGGGTAGTTGGTAGACTTCGTGGTGTAGAGTGCAGCGTACAAGATTTTTAGAGCGTCAGGTTCAGGGCTCGGTGCTTCAGTGACACCGGGCTTTTCATGGCAAAGTGCTCCGCGTCGTCCTTTTAACCCGTAAACTTAAAAATGTTCTTAGCCAACTTCTAAAAGATTTCCCGGCAAGTGAGAGGCCGCTCAGAGCACTCCTTGCCCTGCTCTTCAGCTTCTGTGCGCAGCTCGAAGCGTCTGGGCTGCGGGAAAGGGTTCGTGGGCTTCTGGGCTTTTGGGTTCTGAGGTCCAAAATTTCCGAGCTGAGGCTGTTGCGGAGTAGAAGGTCCTGGATATGAAGCAGGGGTTCTGTGGGGGTTCCATAGAGGTTCGGAGGGTAGAGGACTGTGAAGGGTTGAGTGCACAACAACTTTGAGTGCTGGTTGCGGGGTGCTAGCGGGAGAGAGTCTTTGCAACTATCTTGAGCTCCCCGAGTTGCAACAGGATAGTATCAGTCCTTGTTATCATTTGGGGGTCATGTATGAGGTCTCCTCTTAAGAAGTTTTCATGTTCCTGGCCTTGGCTTTTTGGCTTTAGAAGGGGTTAGGGGTAGTGTGAGACATTTGTGCAGATTTCATTGGGGATGACATCTATTTGCAGGGAAAAAGAAGCTGAGGGTTTGGAGTTTCTTTGCGGGCCTTGAAGTCTTCTCTCGCACGCTTTCATGTGGAGTCTGTCGGGAAATTTTTAGTAGCTGGGCACAAGCTGAACACAATACAAGCTGAGGTATATTGCATTAACCCTCAACCTGTGAACCTAAAAGCCTAGATCCTCAATTCCCTCCCTAGAAGGATCATGTTGTTAAAGTTCATGATGCCGCAGTGAGGGTTGAAACCAAAAAGTCAAGCCAAGAGCAATTGAGGACATCGGCAGGCGGCAGGCTTCAAGCGTTTCCTGCCTGAGGGTGACATCAGTGCAGATGAGCTGCATGCGTACCTGGGCTACAGGGACAGGAAGGGGCAGTTTTCGGGTTGCCTGTTTGTACGAAGGATGGTAGGGTTTGGGGATTGAGATTTTAGGGCTTAGGGTTGAACACGCGCCAACCATCTTTGCAGAGGGTTTCGCCGTCTTGTGATGTTCTTCTTGTCCATGTGGTGTCTTCTACCTTGGACACTGGGGCAGCTTCGAGGATTTTGCGTTCAGGCTCGTGAAGGTTAGGGCTTGGCTGTTACAAATGGAGTTTCAGAAGAACAGACCTGTAATCACAAAGTTGTCCGCGAACGTTTTATTCTCAGGAAATATTTTCTGGGCTCCAGCTTCCGCATCACTTACGGAGTCTTCGTTCCAAATCTTAACCCAAACCAGCACCCTCTCAAGACCCCTCCAAACAACGAAGGAAGAGCTAAGCCCAACTCATGCAAACCCGAGGAGTGCTGTGGTCACAGGCCTCGTGTTGAATCCAAGCAGCAAAATTGTATGTTTTTTTTGGTGGTTCCTTGGGTAAGTTCTCTGTGAAAAGATCCTCAATCGATCGCCGGGGTCGTCAGGTGCTATTTGGGGTTAAGATTTCGGGCTTGATGTTGTGAGAGTATGAGGCTTGGCTGGGTTGAGGATCTGGTAAAGGAATTCGTGTAGTTCATGATTGTCAAAACAACATGAATCCCGCCAAAAAAATCAAAAGGCCAGTAGTCTTTTTGGCTTCTTTTTGATGCCCGCGTTTGTCTAGGAGACTGTAATTCGTACAGCATGAATAGGGCCTTGACACCCCAGACCACTTGACTACATCCTACACGAAGCCCTCAGCCTGCAAACCCGGAAGCTCCAAAACGATGAAGCGCCGACACGCTAGTCTGAGGAAAGGCCTGCAGAGCCTTGGGCTTGACAGCTCCCTGGACGACGCAAGCCTTTGGGTCATATTCAGGAAGTCTGTCTTTCTGCGAGGCTTGAAAAGCTTTGGGTCTTGTTCTGTTTGGAGTTTAGGGCCGGGGGTTTCGAGTTTGTTAGTAAGAAATTGCAAAAGCATGCTCATCAGGATCCTTAGACCCAAAGAAACTTCCCAACTGCCCTTTCCCTAGCGGCCCTAGCGCCTTGTGAATAAGAGGCAAGCATCATCTCACAAACATTATGCGGGGAAGATCTTCATCAAACCTCATGGCTGCAGGCTTCGATTATCAGGTGAAAAGGCAAGCCAAAGGAATGTTTAGAAGCAGCCACTTCGAAATTGTTTGTTCTTCGTCTTGTCGTTCCTATCTCGGTATCTACTACGGTGCTCACGCTTGCAAGTTGTTGTTGCTATCATTATCCTGTAGACGCCTGGGTTTGCTCGACAAGGCGTACACCCGATGCAAAAAAGAACCTGCAGCCTAAACCTTAAACCCAGGAAACCTGGGTCCTAAACGAATTGAATCCTCAACCCTCGCAACCCTAAGCACAGAGAAGGCTAGAAACTCATTAAGGCCCAACCCTACATCTTAGACCCTCGAGCCCTTAACCCCCAAATCTCCCCAAATCCCAAACAACACAGGTGTTTTGGAGGTGGTTTGGGAGCTGCTTTTGGCTGCCAGTCTCTCGGCAGAGGGCGCTTTGGTCTCCGGCGCCTCGCGGGCCTGGGTGCTGCTGAGGAGACTTGGGAGGATTAAAAGGGGTATTTTACGGAGTTTAGGGTACACAAACCTGAGAGCTGATGAGCCTTGGGATGATTTTCTGAGGACAGCTGGAGTGTTGGTCTCTTGATAAAAGCTATTTGGCATCGCTCAGAGTGCCACCAAGCCGCCTTAGGAAGATTGGGTTTCCAGGCTTTGGGACTTAGAGGCGAGGTTTGAAGATTTGGTAGTGAGGGTTTTTGGGCTGGGGTACAATGGTTAATTGTGCTCGAAGAGGATAGCCCCAGGGTTGGGTCCTTCTGCTGAGGACGAACGAGACAGCTGTGGATTCATAAAGGGAACTCTGAACTTGAGAGATTATCAGAACGTTCATGGAAGGCTTTTGACTCCCTCCCAGATAGCCTACTTCGAGATTCGAACGTCCGCGCTGCTCTCGGTGTTTCTGGTGAAAGGCAGTGCTTTAAGGGCGAGAGTTTTAGATAACGTTTCGGCCCCAACGCCTAAAACCGAGTTTATGCCCTGAGCTGAACACGTGCGTCCCAAACTTGGACACCCTGGACCCAGTTTGGAGGTTATGGGCACTACGCCAGGCAGCTGTTTGAAGTGGCTTAGCTTCCAGCGCGAGCAATAGCAAACCTACTCAAAGCCGCGCTGAAGCAATAAACGCGGCCAAGTAGACCCAAGCCAACTAATTCCCCTCCTTGAGGCTTTCTACCCTGAGCCTGAACTCCTTTGAACATTGAGTTCTAAACCCAAATCCTAGATTCCAAGCCGCTTGCAGCAATGCCTGAACCCCAAAGGGAGTCTTCGGATCAGACCAAGCGCAGCTTCTTGGAGTTAGCAATGAGCCTCGGTCCAACTCATTGGGATTCAAATGATCAGGCATTCAGGGATGAGGGTTTGGGTTTAGGGTTTCCAAGGTATTTCAGGTATCAAAGCTCCGTGATAAAACTCTAAACCCCAAACAGCTGTAAACGCCGCAACAGGAACTGCGTAACTGGAACCAGGCCCCCCCTTTCACGTGGATGGAGCAAATCGCAAGATGCAATCTTGTTAAATGTACTTGTTATGTGAGCGACGGACTGAAGTTCCGTCTCTTTAAACATGTCTAACGTCGGTCAGAAGCGCTCATTCACATGTTGCATGACGGATTTGGATTATCGAGTACAATCGAGGCATGGGGCACAGCCCTGGAACAGTTTCAAACCAGCATAGAGATTCACAATGAGTTGTTCAATTTTCTGACCAACGAACATGTCACTCTGCCGCTTTGCACGTATCCACCGCAGGTGAAGTAAGGTATGTTCCGCGTTCAGCAAGTTTCAGGCTGGCCTGTTTCATGAGACCGGTCGTTTGGGACTCTGCATACACTGTAGGACCTTATGCGCTGACTGCTGCCTGTACCTCACCTGAAGCAGCACAAATTGTAGGAATTATTATGGTAAGCGTAAATCTTCCCTCCCTAATGTCCTCCAAAAAGGCACAAGTCTCAGCCCTAGAAGATGCCATGGTTATGAGAGTTGGATCTCGATGCTTGGAAGCCCGTGGACTTTGTAAGATCCCGTGACAGTGTGCAAAGCGCAAACTTTTCTAGCAAACATCTTACCTAGAAGCCAAAAGACCAAGCACCCTTGAGTTTGAAACACCAACCCATTCTCTTCAGAGTTCTTGGTCGCAACCAAGGAAAGAGGCTGCATCAGAAGGGGGCGTATGGCGGGTCCCTGGATCAGTTTTGAGTAGAGCTTGACCTTGTGTTCAGCATGCTTATCCGGCATAGACATGACCATGCACCTGACCCATTACATTTTCAGAAAGCCGTGCTTAAATACGACCAAGCCTCACAGACAGCAGTTTTCCTGTCAACACCAATACGCAACACTCTAGGCCCGCAAACCCCCGACACAACCTTCTCTATCCAATTTAAACTGGGTATAACTTGTATCGGCCACTTATTCTTGATAACACTCGTTTGGGAACATACTTACCAGGCAGCTTGTGAAGACTAAATTTCCCAAACACCGGAACATGCCGTGATGTACGGCTAAGAGCCATCCAAGGTCTCCGCTCAAGGCGAGACTACGCTGCCACTGTCGGCACACCTGGCGGGCCTCAGCCCTTTGCGACACATGCTGGCAGCTCTGTAGCTTGCAGGAATTAGTGTCTGGAGTTTGGGGGTGTTGGGGTGCAAGTTTGCCGGTTCGGTGATCAGAATGTGCAGGTTTGACTGTAGTGCAGGGTGTAGGGCAGTGTAGAGTGTAGGGCATGCTTAGGTGCTTTTTTTTCCCGTCCCCAGGCGCTTGGGCATCAGGTCTAAGATGCAATTCATGTACGTATCTAACTACGCAGATGACCTTCAACCCCAATGCCCAAAACTTTCAACCCTCAAATCTACACCTTCAACCTAGGTGGACGGATGAGGATAGGGCTGAGGCTCTTGGAGCCAAAGGCTGGCGCGACTTCAGCATGCTTGAATTGAAGCTTAGTTTGGGGGCTTGGGGGATTTGAGGCGAGAACCTGCCCTCACCGACCGAATTAGCTGCATTCGTTCTTGCGGGCAGTGACGGGATTGTTACTACAAAACGATTCAGGATGGGGTGTGGGGTTCAGATTCAGTTGTGGTTGACCCAAGCCCGAAGGCAACCTGGAGTGGCCGTGGGTGGCCGCAACCTCAATATTGCCGAAGCGTACCATGGGTAACTAAGACATAGCCTCTCCTGAAACCTTCATCCCTAAATCTGAAACCTTCAACCTACAACCCTGACGCCAGAAAACGTTCACCCGTATGTAAATTCTAAGCCGCCCTCGAAAATTCTTGGAAACTCTTGTGGACAGGCTTCCTGAGCTGGGCCCTTAGTGAAGAAGCCCAGACTGGAACCCTGGGCTGGGGCCACACGGCAGCTACCGTCCCCCGGCTGTTGCTGAGATAGGGTTAAGGGTTTACGGTGGAGGGTGGAGAGATTACGCTTTGGGGTGGGGATGTCTCAGGGATAGCTTTGCGGCGTGAAGGCCAATATTTTACCAGCTGCAAGAGAGGATCATCTAAAATCAGTTCTCTCATCTTTACTTTTCCTCCCAGCTGAGCGCCGATGCGCTCATGTCAGTGCAGATGCAGCAAGCTGCATTGAGCGCATGCTTCTAGGCACTCTTGAGGAGAGCGTCGGCTTCTGTTTCTTTGGCCGTCTCAATGCCGAAAGAGCAGCTGATTTATCCAGCCACTCACTAATCAAATGATTGTAGCCATGAGTTTATGGGTTTGTCGATTTTTGCGTAGCCCTTATCAATTTGGAGTTATGGCTTGAAAGCCTCAAAAGGGACATGCTCTTTCTTCTTTTCCCTTTTCTGAAAAACTTATACCTCAAAGCCTCAAAGTATCGGCTTTGCACCGCTAATCCCAGCAGATGCCAAGGTCATCCGGCAGAGTGCACCATGGCCGTCCTTAGAACCATTTTCAAGTTCAGAAGCTTCTGTATCCTTGGGCCTTTGGGTAAAACAACATTGAAAATTCAAGTAAATCATGACCTGCAGTCCTTTTTCGTGATTGCCATAGATTAGGGTCCTTTTTTTGCAAAGGTGTAGCTCGGTCCTGGTGTGGCTTGGGTCCTTTGGTCCCGTGGTCCTCTGGTCCCGTGGTCCTCTGGTCCCGTGGTCCTCTGGTCCCGTGGTCCCGTGGTCCTTTTGAAATACTGTAATTTGCAGCATTGGAGATGTTCGAATCTATTGGGATTTACCGGAATTTGTGGGAGTTTCTAGGAGTTTACTCGAATTGGTTGGAGAAGCAGCCTTGCTAATCCAAAATGAGCAGTTTCCCCATGAAGTCATGCGCATCTTTCCCTTCCTTGTGAACCTCTGGTTTTGCCCTGCTCCAAACTGGCGTCCGTGGCTCTGTGGCTACGGTGCTGTCGTCACGGTGTTCGCTAGGGCCTCACACTGGAAGAAAACTGGCGGCGAGCTGCTTGCTGGCGGAGACCCCGCTCCCGGACTCGTGCCTTTTCGGCACACTTTGACCTCTCTGTTCCCCATAAGTACCATGAAAGAGTACCCCGCTAGGCTGTACATGGGTGGGTTCCCCCCATATGAGGTCATGCACCAGTTTTCTTATTCAAGGGTTGCGGCAGCTCTCCGTGTGCCTGGCTGGCCTATGCTGTACATTCGTAGGTTTTAACTTAGGATCTAGGAGCTGCCAGGATGAGCCTCAAGGCCGGCGGGAGCAGCATGCCGGATGTCAGGGCTAGACTGGCTCTTTGCTTTTAACTTGGGATCTTAGGAGTCCAGCCACACGCAAAACAGAGAGGGCACTTGGAAAGAAAAGTAGGAATTGCGCGCTTGCGCTTCTGATGAGACGGATGCCAGTGGACCCATTGTCGCTCATGTGGGCAGAAGCGCATGACGTAGACCAAGATGATGCACGCGCAGGCAGCATCATCCTGTGTCAAATCTGGTAGCCCCCCTTTCAGCTTTCACCACCAACATCATGGCCTCCCGCACAACGAGCTTCGTCCCAAGGTCGCCTTGGACAGCGGGAGAGAGATTGTGGGATATCCACGTCCCAATTCCGAAACTGATGACGCGCAACTTGGCGGCCATCCAGATGAATGAGTCTGGCGTGTCCAACGCAGGTGTGCTCGGATTGCAGAAGCCAAAGACTATCGTTGATAAAGTGGCTTTCTGCAAAGTGTATCTACGAGCGGATCGGACTGAGATGGTCAATCGGCCAGCCTTTGGCCTCAGCATGTTCACGGGCACGCTCGTGGCCCTGCGCAAGAATCTGGAGGCCCGATGGACCAAAAGTTTCATGACTGTGTCTCAAGTTGTGGTCTGTACGCGTCTGCAAGTGTTTCTGCTTTCCCCGCTGCAGGAGGGGCTGGCATCTTCCACGAGTCGTTGGCTGCCGAGTTTGGCCAACTGGCGGACAAGTATGAGTTGTATGAAATCAATCAAATCCTCAACATGCAAGACTACCCGGATGATGTCCTGGGCCGTGCAGCAGGCTTGGTGGTGGGGGGCCACTGGGCTATGACTCTGGCATCCACGCAACAGGAAGGCAAGTATGCCTCGGCCATCACCGAAATTCCCGTGGCAGCTCGTGAGGCGAAGAGGACCTTGCTTGAGGAGCTAACTTAGCCATTGCTACCAACACACCCCGGGTAAGATAAATATCGTGACTCCAGTGGGGGCGGTGGTGTCCTGGGTGAAATACCTAAATATTGTGACTCTGTGGAAAGGTTGTGGTGGGCGATCAGCGGGCGGGGAGCGCGGGAAGGGCGGGAAGGGCGGGGAGGGCGGTGAGGGGTTAGGCATTGATTGGGTTCGCATTAAATACCTTCCAATCAGATTCCAATCCATTAAGTACCTCTCCATCCCTCCCTAAATACCTACCTACCAAAAATCCACCAAACGCCTATCAATCCCTACCTAAGCAGCTTTCCATCCTCACCAAAATCCAAACAGGCCCGGGCGAACCGCAAGGGAGTCAGTGGGAGGTGAAGGCGGCTCACTTACAGGCAGACAACAGGTAGGAGGGGGGGGTTGCAATGGAACGGGATACCGAATAGGGTGGGTGGTGCGGGCGGGTGCTGCATGACAGCCGGTGAGGCGTACCGGCATGTGCAGGCAGGAAAGGCGCAAGTGGGCCGGTTGCAATGGAACCAAAGACTTCACTGGCTGGTAGATAATTCTAGAACGTTCTTCTGGTGTAAGGCAGGGTGGTAGGTGTTGGAGCCTAGGCATTTCTTTCATGGGGAGGGAAGCCAGGCTTCGCTAGGGGAACGTCACAACAGAGCCCCGTTGCAAAGATTGTAGTGCAAGCGTTGCTTGAGTTTTTTCCGGATGAGGGATGACTAGGCTAGGGCTTTTAAATTTGGTGGCTGTCAGCTTTTGGTGCGAGGGTGTTTCATTGCGGGCCTGTCTGAGGGCTTCGATAATTAGGCAATTACAGCATGTAAAATTCTCCAAGACCAGCAGACGCTGTCATTTATAGCATGTGAAGTGTTCCAAGACCAGCAGAAGCTGTAATTTACAGCGTTTGAAGCGTTCCAAGACCAGCAAATGCAGTACTTTGCAGAACTTGCAATGTTTCAAGACTAGCAAATGCTGTAAGTTACAGCTTGTGAAGCATTCGAAGACCAGCAGATACAGTAATTGCTGTGATGTACAGCCTTTGGGACGTTCCAAGACCAGCGCACGCTGTAGATTACAGCGTGTGAAGCTTTCCAAAACCAGCAGACGCTGTCATTCACAGCGCTTGAAATATTCCAAGACCAGCAGACACTGTGATTTACAGCGCTTGAAACGTGCCACGACCAGTTAATTTACAGCATTTGTAGCCTTCCGAAACCAGCAGACGCTGTAACTTGAGATGTTCCAAGACCATCAACTGTTGTAATTTGCATCATTTGAAGCATCCCAACCCAGCAAATGGTGCAATTTACAGCATTAGACACGTGCCAAGACAAGCGAATGTTGTAATTTGCAGCATTTGCAGCGTTCGAAGACCGAACAGGAGCCACACCTTTGCACAAAAGAAACGAGCCGCGCCTTTGCAAAACAAAACTTTTGCCCATAGATTACGCATCATTTTTCGGTCGCTTAAGGTTTTGGATTTTGATGGTGCTTCAGTGCCGCATCCTAAAATTTGGCAGAATTTCTCCGGGTGTCTCTGCGCACTTGCCAGCCACAAGATTTTTCCTAAATGACCAGGCTAAACTCTGAAGCCCTCAGCCTTCATGAGCACTGAGACTTGAGTCCCCATGCCTGGACCCCAATCTTGAGAATCTGGCTAGGCAACGTTTGGGTCGCAATGATTATCAGTGGTACTGTCATTGTTGTTGCCACCATGTCCACTTTCAGCAATTGTCAGTCCAGTCTTTCAAAACAGGCTCTTTTAGATTTCCGTATGCTAAGTTACGATCCAGAAAGCTAAACCCCAGACCGCAAGGAGCGTAAGAGTTCATATGTGAGGGAGGTGCACCAGCACTAACGATGAGTTTTCTGCTCATGTTTCATTCGTGTTTCTGCCATGATGCTTCTGGCAATTGGGGCGTTGTCTGGAGACTCTAAGACCCAAGCCGCAGAACCTAGACCAGACCCCACATGCCAGGACCCTACACATGCAAACCGGAAATTCTCACTTCCCAGAACAGGCAAAGGTTGGGGTCCTGGAGGGCCCCCCGCTACTCACCAATCAAGCGAAGTGCCGCGCATGGATCCGGGATATGCCGATCTCTGGAGGAGCTCAGATCACCGAGCCTGGGAGTTTTAAAGATTGATTTCGCTGCCGCCTAGGGTGTTGGGGCCTGGTTTGCTGCAAGGTTTTAAGGTGCAGTGTCTAGTGTAAGGTTACGGAAGATGTTGGAATTGGGGTTTCTTGTTTCGGCTCGAGGCGATAAGCCCTAGTAAGAACGTAGTAGGTATACACGAAGTTCTACGTACCCTAAGTTGGGGACCTCGGCTCTGGGTGGTTTTGTCGGGGCCGAGGTTGTACAGTTGTTTGTCAGCTGTTCTTCACAAGGTATGGTCCATCTTATTCATAGTAGAATGAACAAGAGGGAGACGTTTGCTGCGTTTGCACGTGGTTGCTGCGGCATGCAAACTTCATTTAGGTTTTGGGCCTGTCTGGAATTTTTGTGTATCTGCATATGGCTCTGTCTCACTTGAGGCGCTCCTTCTTCCCCAAAACTACTCCGAAATCGGGCGCCTGAGGCTTTCCCTTGACAGCAACATCTGCTTTTTATTCAGCCTTGGGATAGAGTCCCCAGATGATGGACCTGCCAAATCCCGCAGCTTAATCCATAGATCTTGCAAGACATCTCAAGTTGCCTCTGAAATTACCTGCACATCGTGCTACCATGCACATTGTCGCCCAACTTCTGATCCACCAATTCGTAAGGCTTGTACGACCAGCAAACCCCAGAGATTTCGAGTAGTTTCACGTGTAACCCCGAATCATTCGCACCCTGAACGCCTAAATGCTGGCTTTCTCCCGAACTTGGAACCCATGACTCCTGAATCCTGCTAGTGTAAATCCTTATGATTAAAACCCAGGAGCAACATCTCGTCTTCGCCGCGGCGATCGAAGAAATGGCGGAAGCCTACTTGCCCAAGGACTCAGCTGAAGCCTGGCTGGTCCTTCGGACTTTTTTTGGAGTGGGGTGCCCTTGCAGGGATGCTAGAAATGCGTTTGTTTTGCAACCCTAGGGTCTGACGGATGGTGTGGGGTCCCTCTGAAGTGACTCTGAAGGATCGCGCAGGGATGATGTGAGAAATTGCTATCATCGGCATGGCGTTAATAAATCGGGGTAAATGCAGGCGCTCACAGGGATAATGAAGGTAGTCGGGCAGTCCTGCATAAGCATTTTATTGGGATGATATTGACAAAATGCCATATGTGTTCCGGACCCTGTTCACGGCAGCTCCCAGTAGGCTTTGCAGGCTTTGTTTGCTGTTGGCAGCCCCGACGTGCTGCTGGGGCAATCAGCACAGGCGGGAATTTCAAATCCCCTCATGTGCCACAACAGTTTTAGGGCTCTACAGCCTTACCTGGCTTTCAGAAAACCAGGGCCTTGACAAAGCACCTTGGTGCTTTTTGCCCTGTAGCCCAAAAACTTCCAACCTCCAAAGCCGTCGCCTCTACACTTAGCCCCAAATCATTGGCCTTCGAACCCACACAGCCTCATTCCAATTCCGCCCAGGACCGTGCGGTAGACGTTGACAGCGTGAACCGCAAGCTGAGCAGCGACGGCCCAGTCATCACAGAGGTGCCAAAGCCACGTGATTTACCAATCATGGACCTTTTTGTTGGCCTTCCATGGGTAGTATTTTTTTCTTTTATGGCTAATTGGATCAGGGCTTTCGGGACATTGAGGGTTGAAGGATTGAGCGCTGGAGTTGAAACATCATCCTGCCGCTACTGCTGCTCCTGCTTGGCTGCTGCTGCTGCAGTATGTTGCTTCTACAATGGTTCTTCTACTCACTTCTGCTCTCTACTGTCAGAGTTGCTGCTATGGTTTCACTGCCACGACTTCTCCTCGTCTACCATTATGGGAACTATGACCGCCACCACCACCACGACTACTACCAACACTACGATTACTCCTGCTGCTGCTGCTGTTACTACGACTATTGCTGGGCTGCTACGACAACGATGACAACTACTACTAGTAGGCGCCCCCCCCTCCCCGCACTACGCTTGTCTAAAATCATTGTAAGGACGTTTGGTTGGCAATGGTGGAGGGTTTGGGGGGTTGTTCCGTGCAAGCAAACCTCAATCGGTAGGTATTTTAAATGTCGCGGAGGGTGGAGCTTCAACGACCGCAATGAGCGATTGCGTTGGGAGTGGCAGCATGCACCCAAAAACAGTGTCGTAACATTCAAAGATATAACCACGTAGAGCCCTACAAAATGGCCCCTTTAACCCACTGTTGCTAGGTCCGGGCAGCAACCACTAGCGGACGCGAATGGTAAACACCACGGAGAGGTGATACTAAGATGTCGCCGCTGGTGGACTGTTTTGACGACCGCAATAAGCGGTGGTGCTGGGAATGTCAGCCGTACACTGGTGCCATGATGAATTTGCCGCGGCAAATCCGCGAACCAGTTCAGCCGCACAGACAATGCATAGATGCCGCGCTCAGACGAGCATCTAAGAGAGTGCGCAGGTGAAAACCCGGACGTCCGAAATGCAAATTTCGGGCGCGTGCATCGCTCTTGCCCGCGCCTATAGCAACAATTTCATAATATCTAAAGGGATTACCACATAGAGCCCCTTACGAAATGGCCCCTTTTAACCCACTGTTGCTAGGTCCGGGCAGCAAGCACTACAATAACATTGCTACTGCTACTAGCTCCTCGGGGAATTTATGATCAATCTTAAACAAAACCTGGTGCCTAGGGGGTGGGGCGGCTACCAGTACTACTATTGCTACTCCTACTCCAATTCCTTCCACTCCTACTACTCCTCCTACTTCTACTGTTACTCCTTCTGCTGATGCTGCTACCACCACCTTTCCTGCCACTGCTAGTTTTGTTACGACGACACGATGTGAACCGCAATCTCCAAACCCGAAAGGTCACCCCTTAGACCTCAGCGCCAACCTTTAGCCCAGCTCAAATCCCAAACCCGACGCTTCCCTGGTCAATCCCAACCGGGAGGTGCCGCAAGCCACAGAGCAGGCGTCCAGCGAGGGTGGCATAGCAAAGGAGGAACCATCGGCCCAGGAAGACTTGGACACTTGGAGACCGCATTTGATTTGGGTTATGGGGCAGCGTATTTCACTTGAGAAGATTGTCGTTATGATGTGCATGTGGGTTTTATGGCGCACAGAAAGATTTCACAAGTTGTTGTGGGTATTTGAAAGGGATTCCTTTTATGTTCTATGTCGGGACTCAAAGAACAGGTCTCCAGCGATTCTATTGTGAAGTTATTTGCTATGTATGAGGTCACTGTTGGCTTGGGGGTCTTGGGTCAACGTTTGGGGAATTCGACGCAAGTCAGAAGGCTGCGGAGTAGACTGCGGTCAGGTTGTTGAATGAGTTGATTTTTTGAGTAGCTTTGGTGGTGTGCCTGGGGTCATGTTTGCATGGCTTGCATGTTGCATATGGAATGAGCATCAACTGTTGGACATGATATCGCCATGCGCAACCTTATGTTTCTTAGTGTTGGACCGTATCCATCTTGATCCTGCGCTCCATGATAAACCTGGTAAGCAGTGCTCAAACTTTCAGGTATGCATTCTCACGCAGAGACCGTTTGCGGGGAGATCAGCTTGATGGCGACTGCATCTGGACAGTCCCCCGCAATCCCCTACACAAAGGATGCCCATAGCCTCGAAATCACAGCGTCTTATGTCGGGAAAGACAGCATATCATACGCTTAGATTCAATGTGGTAGAGCACGAAAGGGTAGAAAACATCACCTGCATGCCTGTAAGCAAGGCCGCAAGATACAGCCCAAATCCCGAAACCCTTTAATGTTCCGGATTTGCATACCTCCTGTATCTCAAACTTTGACCCCCAAAATCTGAGACCCGAAGCCTCAAACTTGAAACTCACTTCACTACCCTGCTGGTGGTGCGAAATCTTTTGCACGTCCTCATAGACCCATTTTTCGTCCATTTACCAAACCAGGATACCAGCCTGGTGGAGAGCGTGGAGAAGCTGCTTCGCTGGTCCCAGGCAACTTCCTGGCGCGTAAGGCTTCAGAGATAGCTTGCTAACCACTTTGGTATGGGATATTCATCCTCTTGAGCAGCTCTCTTCCCCCAATTTTGCTTATGGCTAATGTCAGGCAAAAGCCTCGCGGGCGGATGCCTTTGCTGGCTATGCGGCCGCCCTTTGGCCCTCTGTGGCCAAGGCCTGGAGGGGTTTGGGGTCTAGGAGGATGGTGTTTGCGGATTCAACATGTGTCTGAAATTTATGGTCTCTGGTAAGGCTGAACTTCGGACAATAGGACAGCAGGCAGCCCAGTAAACATGATGAATGTGCGTCCCAAGGTACTCTCTACTGGCGTTCAAAGCTCCCTTGAAGATATCACTCACATTATGAGCGTTGATCAGCGCAGCGGCAGCAATCATTTAGGTAGTAGTGGGGATCGTCGCCTCCTCCGTCGTCGTCGTCGTAGTAGTACAGCCCCCTAACAACTGTGTCCCCGGCCTGTGGGGGCTGGGTTATCAGAATCCTGAGCAGAAAACGTTTGTGGCGGAAGCGTCTGACACATGAAAAAAGAAAGTCGTGCACATACTGTCAAGCGCCAAAAAGTCATGCAGTGGCGCAGGTCGCAAGAGCTGCACCTCCAACACTAACCACTGAGCCAAATTACTCCGCCAGGTTGTGGTGGACGTGCTGGTACTGTGCAGAGTGCAGTTCCCTGCCATGGGAGCGCTCGAATGTTTTCAAAGTATGTGACAGGGGTGCACGATGCAAAAAGCGATCCCACCCACGAGCGTTATGCTCATCTTTATCATCTGCATCATGAGCGGCAGCATTGCCATCATCGTCATCGCCTTCTTCTTCCTCTTGAAGCATACAGTCAGCGGACGGAATCTTACAGCAGGTTTAGGTATAGGGTACACGAGATGCTGCAAGATTTCATCTCAACATTCCTAAGCCATAAAACCCTTCAGCAATGGATTCCCCATGCAGGCAGACAGCACTTCTGGCCGGCTGACTGCGCGGATGGTTCGCCTGGCGCTCGAGTCGCTGGGCACCGGCCCCACAGGCTCTCTGAGGAAATAGTTTTTCGTTGACTGGCACGGGGGTCAGAACTACGAGACCTCTTGAGACCATGGATCTTCTGTCCTACAATGCGGTCCCATGCTTGTTTGCCCCCTAAATCTGTGGCCTCCCTAGACCCTGGCTCCGTAGATCCTTTTACGCCTTTCGAGTGTCCAGGTTTGGCCTCTGGCCCAAAGGTCCCTGCCTCGCCGGGCGTCTGGCGGCTCATCGCGGCGCTCTGCAAGGCCAGCTCCTCAGGGTGTCGGGTTCTAGGGTGTGGGGTGGTGTGGGTGTAGAAGGCGAGGAAGTTCTGGACAACTTGGGGTCCCGGCGATGTATGAACAATCCAGGTCGAACAAAGCCTCCTAATCAGGGGCGAGGCCATCATGTGATTGTCGGGACGAAGTAGGTATGCTGTTTGGCGTGTGGTGTTAGGGGTTTGGGTCTTGTGGGTTTGAAAGTAGTTTTGGAGATCTAAAGGTTTTCTATTTTTGCTTTCCCAAATTGAAGCCATGAACCCAACACCAAAGATTCAGAGCTTGTCGCAAGGCAAAACAGTGGCCGGAGGCCAACTGGCAGCGAGTCTTGCAGGCTACTGCCAAAGCCAGCAGCTTGGCAGTTTGTGTCTTCTAGCCTTCAAAGCCTTGCCATTTTAACTGCCTCCCTTCTCATAAGACGGAAAGAAAAAGGAGAGACTTGTTGAACAACATGAGGCAAATGGCTCCTTATGGCCCACGATGACAGTGCTGCTCTTATCTCGGACGCCTTCGTGGATGACGTCCGTGGGCTGCAAGCAGAGCTGTTTGAGGCTACAGTCCAAGTTTCGTGTGTTGTGTGGGATCTTGTGCAGTTTTGGGGTTTCCGTTGCATGGCTTACTAGGCTACAGGAAGAGCTTTGACCGAAGTTCTTGTGGACTTACAGGAAAGGGGCCTGTAGAACAACATCTTCACCGGGCCCATCCTTGCCAACTGAATATTGAACACTTTCCCTAACACCCTTGGACCCTGCACTGCAATCACATGAATGCAAAGCGTTCTCTGGGATTTCTGAACGCCAAGCCCGAAACCATGCTCGCATTTTGTTTACCCTCTGAACCTTACACCATGTTACACCCTCAAGTGTGTACCTGAAATATCATTTAACCCTACATCCGAAATCTGCTGCTTCAAATAGGATTCAGGATCTCCCTGCCCCTCAAATCCTGCACCTGGAGCCCTCAACCTTGTCATGAAGACCTATTCCTTGAAATGGAAACCTCCAAGCCAGCCCCAAAGGCCTGTACAGCGGCTGCGATGCTTTTGCCCTTCGCCCCGGCAGCCTTGGCTGGCATGTTGGCCCCGTTCTTTGGCCCTTATTGGTAGCTAACAGTTGGGGCTTGTTGGGGGTTTCCAGCTTAATTTGGAAATTAGGATGTGGAGATTAGGAGTTGGGACTTAGGATTTTCTCACAGCCCCCCCGGTCGTGAAGAGGCTTCTGGCTGCACCCAGCGCTCCATTGCGGGCGGCCTCAGCCCGAAGGCTGCAGGCGCCAAAGTTGTTTCCTGTAGTTTGCTGGTAGTCAAAGCGAGGTTGGGATTAGGTTTTGGAGTGAAGCATTATAAGGCTTAGGGATGGAGATGTGCGCTGAAGTGATGAGGGCTGGGGTTGAGACATGAGGGGTTGGGGGTTGGAGACGAAGGCGTAGAATTTAGTATAGAAGCCAGGGGTTGGGGATGATGCTTTTTGGCGGGCTTTGGTGTCATCATCTCGGGATTTAACTTACAAAAATGTTGCGGTGGTAGCGAGACAGTAATCTTTATAGAATGAACAGTGAGAGAAGGCTTCCATACATGAAGAGCATCAGTGGAATTTCGTGCCCCCCTTTGAGCGTTAATTATTAAGGGGCCATGTTCAGATTTGCCGTGCTCAAAGCAGAGGCACACCGCTGGCTGCCGAGCAAATGGGCATCTTGGGCGTTGTTGGTTCTTGCTTGTTGTATGGCGTCCTGGGTGTAGGGTGGGCTCTTGTAGCTTTAATTTTTTTGTTGCAAGAACGCAGACAGGAGGGTTCATTGCGCAGGCTTCAGGATCTAGGACATAGGGCGGAGAGTTAGGACGCAGGGTGCAGTTTTGGAGCCTGGCCCTTTTTTGATGTTTCAGGCTTCTTTGTGATCTTTGCCAGTGTCTGCGCTTTCATGGTTGTGATTTTGGCTCCTGATTGTCAGTGGGTTTCGGGCGTGTGCGGACCAAAGACTTTATGGTTCTGCATGCCAAGGTAGTCAGTCTTGCTCGCTGCTAGCAGCATGGCGCAGGAAGGGTAGTAAAAAGACGGGTTCCAGTACTGACTACGTCTGAACCGGAAATTACGGCTTTCCTTTCCGCCATCTCTTGGCCAAAGCCTCACAGCTCGGGAGCTTTCCAGCTCTGAGCCCCACCCTAGCAGGCATTGTCACATTCCGAAGCTAGCCCTTCGTCAATTAAAGCTCCGTTATCTCCAGCTCCAAGCTCCTTTCAAGGGCGCTCCTAATTTCCAGAAATGCACAAGTCATGCCCAGGAGTTGGGGTCCGCAAGCTCACCAGAGGCAGAGCCATGGCCCTTGAGAAGGTGTAAAGTTCTTCTGTTACACCTCTTAGGTCTAAGGTTCGTCTTGTTTTGGCAAACCTATATGTCAGAGGCCTGAGGGAATCAGTTTTGCAGTTTCATGTGTTATTACGGCGGCCGAATGCTGTGCAGGGTTGAGGGTGAGGGGTTTGCGCCTATTCTCAAGCTGATCTTATTTCTCCTCGACACTCAAGCCCCGAACCTTAAACGTGCAGGAGTTGATATTTTTCTTGCGTTAGCGACGGGGCCTGCAGCAGCCGAGAAGACTGGGGGCGGCTTTTCAGAAGATAGTCTTTCAACAAGCTTAGGCTGGCTAAAGGAGCTTCGGGCTCTCGGCTTGAAGGCCTGTGACATTATGTGCTTTATGCTGCTATGGCTTCATGAGGTTTAAGAAGTATCTAAGCCCCTGAAACAAGTCACAGGTCACAAGACGCCTAACAACCGGCGATGAAAGTCAGTACTGTCACAATTTGGTGCGGACCCTTGATTCCCAAAGCCCCGTTCCGGCACCATGCTATGCGCTCTAGAGAAGTCCTTGCAAAAAGAGTTAGCTTTTTTTTGTCAGGGCTGTAACCCCCCAACCCTGAATTCCAAATCCAAAAGTGCAACCCCTAAAAACATCAAGTCATGAAACCCTATCAAGGACTGAAGCCGACAACCTTAACCCTTAACCATGCCCACACCTCTCGAACAAGAACCCAACCCTAAATTGTACACCTTCAACCCTCGGATTCTCTGAGGAGGGAGAGAAGGAAGGCAGTTGGTCTGCACAGCGAGCTCTGGAAAGCCTGGAGGCGCTCCTGGAAGCTGACTCGCAGCCGCCCGAGGCGGGCATTACAGGTTCCGAGCTTCGGATTGGGGATGTAGGATGTCAGAGCATGGGGGAAGTTTGCGTTTTTGAGCCTTGGGGTTTGGGGCGCCAGGGTTTCTCCAATTTGGATCGTTCGTCAGAATGGTCCCTTGTGGGTGGTCACTCTCAGAAAGATCCTGATCATGCCATATATGATGGCTTCCTAAGACCTTGTCAATGTGTTGCAGTTCTGTACAGCCAAAGATTAGGATTCTCAGTCTACCAGCCAGACTTGTACAGTATAGTGCATTAGCGGGTGTTCAGGTGCTTGCAGTACTATACTGCACTGTACTGTATCGTCATACCGTCATACCTTGATCCTGCATCTGCTTTTGGGCAGGCAAATGCATCACCTGCACTGGCTTCCTGTGCAGATGTGGCCTACCAGGTGGCCGTGCGGTTGGTCGAGCATGATGTATTTGGAGATTAGTTTTGAAGGGGTCCATGCTTTGCAGGAGGGGTATGGTGAGTGAGAGAAAAAGTTCATCATGGAGTTCTCCAAATTCAGGGCCTCTAGGTCTTTAGAGCTTCGGGCAGAAAAGGGCTTAGACGGGTTGTGGGTTTAGGGGTCTATGGGGTGTTCGCTGTTTAGAGGTCTAGGGTTGACGGGTTGATGTTGATGCGGTTTGGAGCTTACAAATTCAAGCACTACATGCGCTCTCTGTGTCTCTCTATCTTTCTTTGTGTCTCTGTTCCTGTCTCTAATAACACCAGTAAGAAGCTTCCCTCTTCCCACAAGCCTGTACACCGGCATTGCAGCAGATGCCGCATTCTCAGCCCCAACATCCTGGAGCTTTAAAACCTCCTTCCCAAACCTTGGACCAACAAAAAGCTGCGTAAAAAGAGCATCCAGCAGGTGTTGGGCTCCGTGTTCAGCCCAGAGCTGGCTGAGGCTTTCTGGTCTGTGGAAGACGCCCTCAGTGCCGTCGCCGTCCCTGGGCTTCTTTGGGGTTGCTAGGGACAAGGTTGGCTTCTCCTCATTCCTACCTTGCAAGCTCTCTAAACCCCATACGTCCAAAGGCCAGGCTTCTCATCCTTTATCCCCAACCCGAAGCCCCAAACCCTGAATCTGCTCTACCCTCAAGGCCTGGGAAACCGGAGAAGACGACTCAGAGGAAGAGCCTGGCGAAGACTCCACAGAGCCTGGCATGCCGCCGAAACCATTTTGGGGAGTTCAGAGCTTTGGGTTCAGGTTTTGGATGTCAAGTTCGGCTGTCAAGTTCCAGGTAGGGTATGGGGACTAGGGTTTGGAAATCAGATTCACAACAGCTACATGTTTGGACTTTTGTACAAATTCTGCGTGCGCACTCAGGGCTTGGTTTCAGGGATTGAGGTTTAGCGGGTTAGCTATGACGGCCCGCTGCGTGTTGCCAAATTGGTTTTTGGAATGCAACCCTCCCTATATGTCTTCCCTACCACGCCCCTTGACATCTAGGGCTACTTGTGGCGTCCACGTTTTGTGGGCGATTGTACCAAGGTGAGGCTTCGAATTCGCACCGGGGCCCCTCGGCTGGCAACAGGGTGTTTTCTCGAGCTGGGCTTCACTGGCCTGGGGAGTGTTTTATACACGTGCCCTATTGAGGTCCCAAAACCCGAAACGCCTTTCAAACGATTGTCGTTCAAAACAGGCTATGGCAGACGCTTCCGCGGGGCGGCAAGCGAGGAAGGCATTGGGGGCTCAGATTTCGGGATCTCGGAGGTTCAGGCCTTGTCGCGGTAGGTTTGCGCTTTGGGGATAAATGAGCCATAGTCTAAACTTCTTAAAGGGGTTATCTAGGGGATCATGTAGAGGAGTATTATAGGGGTCATTGAGGGGGATGCTAGGAGTTTAGACTAGCTCAACTGGAGGTGATAGTAGGAATTACCCAGGCCCCAGACAAAAAAACATAAAAGTGAATCCAAATTTGAGGCAAGGCTGGAGGACCACTGAAAGAGGAATTGTCTAGTGTTAATCAAGGACTGGATTCGGGTTTTGGGGGTCAAGACTTCAAAGTTTGGATTTTTGCAAGTAGAAATCTAAAGCTCCTAACCTAATTCTCCCCAAAGCCCTGAAAACTTAAGCTCTAAGCCGCACAAAATGAGCCCTGAACAGCAAATCAAACCCTTGAGGCACCTCGGGAGATGCTACTTTTGCAGACCCAGCCACGCCTGCAAGCAGCTCCTGGTTCAAAAAAGCTGCACCTGGTATTAGATGCTTATGTTTTGAGGGTTCATGGTGCAGGGCCTCGGATTGAAGATGTGCAGGTTTAGCGCATGTCTCAATGTCAGGACCCCTCCAATCCCTCCAAGAATTTTCTTTGACTCATAATGGGCTAGGGTCACAAGTGGGTTCTCGGGCCTGGGTCACCTTTCCTTTTCAGACATTGATATTGAACCCCGCTTTTGGTGAACTTCAAGTAAAGCCCATAAGAGGAACCTTGATATGACTGCCCATCACTCAAGCAATCCGCTGAATTGGCACGTGATCCCGGTGCAATAGCACCCTGAAGGAGTTGCGGCGTTATCGTATCAACTTTGTGGGGGGGGGGGGCATGTTGCGTAAGCATGGCAATGAAGACACACTTAGACATCCCCGAGATTCCCTCGCTTGTGAGCCTCAGCCCCACCAACGTCGGCGCCCGCCTAAATTGCATGGGCAGCTTGTAGGAAGCCTATCTGCGTGAGGCGGCAGATGTGACGCAGACTCTCGATACCGAGACAACTTTGTGAAGGGAACAGTGTTTTCGTGCTTCTGCCCTTTCATTAGCTTAGGCTCTCGGGGACAACGCCGGCCGTGGCTCACTTCGGCAGAGCAGCTTCCACTGTCAGGGCCCGATGCAGGGCCAGGGTTTAAAAGGTTTAGGCAGACGACTGCGGCTAAGGGCTTTGGGCTTAGGATGTAGACGGGGTTTGGCCTCCAGTGTGCAGCATGGTGGAGTGCTGTGTGAAAATCCAGAACCTCAAATTCCAGGTCTCGTAATCCCAAATCACAGCTGTGAAGAACAAGATTCCTGATTCCTAAACGCCTTCATCCAGACGGTCTATACGCCCACTTCCCCTTATATATACCTTCAGCCCAACATGCTGAACCCCAAACCCAGGCCCCTTGAAAGACATCTAGTTGGTTTTGGGGGGCCCTCATTGAGGCCCATTGAAGTGGAGCATGCCTGTGCTGCCGCCCTGGTTGCATGGGAGACGCTGCTACAAGGAGCCTTGCGGATTTGAGATTTGAAGGTTTGGGCTCTAGAGGTTTGAGGGATTAGGGTTTAGGGCTTAGAAGTTACAAAATGCACGGCTTCTTGGTCAGAATCACTTAATAATTTCCCTCAAATGTCTCAAGGGTCATGCCGTGTCTATATCAAGGCATATCAGGGCCATGGACTTCTAAGCGGACCTGTTTGTATGCGACACCCTTGCCCCGGCTCACCATAGGCGATAGTATCACCAGAGCCCATACAGTCAATGTCATGTGAAGCCCTGGAAGCATTGGTGTGCGCTGCATTTGTTTTGGGTCGTCGCAGGAAGCACCACGCTATGCATATCCATTATAAGGAGAGCATATACCAAACCATGACCCAGATGTAGGCAGCAGTCTTTGGGAATTCTATGTGCAAACCCTAAGCACCGAAAACGTCAAGCCCAAAACCTTACAGGTCTTCAACAAAAATACAATCCAGACGCATCGAAGCTCCAAGGCCAACACGTTTGCAGTTCTTCAGGCATCGACATGTATCGTTTTAATCACCTTCAGAATTTCGATCAGGCACCCTGCAGCATCAATTCAATGTGAAACGCTCCCATCTCAACCCAGTCTAGAACCTAAACCTTTCCACTGTTAATCCCATGCACATTTTGCTGGACCCCCCCCCACGGGGCCTTCAGACAGTGTAAGGCAAAACCACTTATGCCCCCCTTTGGAAGCAGAGAGCACATAAGCAGCTTCGTACCTGCCACCTGTGCACAGCACCGCCCGCCCGCCTTTGCAAGCATGCCCCTGCTGGGCACCACAAGCCAAAACCACGGCACTGCTCACCCAGGTGGCCTTGGATGCCTGAGTTGCGAACGGTTCAAGTTGAAGGAACACCCATTCGGAACCCTAAACCCCTTTCTACATCATGAACCATTTGCAGGTAAGTTGCGGCCACCCCCTGTTGCAGGAATCGACCAGGGCCTCAAAGAGAAGGCAACCACCAGATCAGGTTTCGCATGTATGACGATTCAGGGTCCCCCGGATCCAACCTGTTCTGTTCAACTTTTGATGTGTGGCCTTTAGGGTCAAAAGCCAAGATCGTTTTCTTGCTTTGTAATTCTGAGCAAGCATTCTGAATCTTGCCCAGCCACTGATAGTTTCTGTTTGATCCGAGTTGTTCATCTCATGGCCGCGCCTCGCTCAGCCATTTCTGCATCCACGGGATTCGGATGCTGGGTGCAGGTGTTATAAGAGTCTCTCCTAAACTTGTAGGTCATTGTTGTCAGGTTTGCCTCATTGTTGATGGAGGTAATCTTGCATGACTTTAAAACAGCTCCGTAAAACCCCATGCCCCTCACCCCCTGTTGACCATGGGCGGTGACGCCGCACGGGGGCGGCTGGGGCAAGTGACCAAAATCTTGCACCACGTCAGCTTGTGTTCCTCACAGTGTTGAAATGATGCGTAGGGCCCTCATGTTTGCCGATGTTGTTTGTTAGTTGGCATAGGAGTGGTGTATTGATTTGCCTTTATTTGTGACGCTATTTCACAGTATCCGAAAATACCATAACAGGAGCCTGATAATTCTGTGAATTCTGTGATTCTCGATCCTTTCCAGCCTAGGATCACAACTGCCTGGCTCGCCTTCCATCCTCCTACATTTGTCAGATGCTTGAATTTGGAAACACCCACGACAGCGCAATACTATTGACCTACAGGAAACGCTCTTTCGTAGTCAGACAATGTTTCCACACCATCAGCGCTTGCTTGTGCTGTTTTCAGGCGCACTACCATTCCTGAGTTCTGGGTGTAATGACCTTTCAGCCATGGCAAACCGAATTTCATGTTCAGATGCTGCGTCTGTCATTGCATTGCACTATATGGAGAATCTCGCGGATCTGTCAGCAGGATTGCTACACCTCCTCAACCATTAGTATTAGTGCAAGTCTGGCACCCTGTTTGGTAAGTAAACTGAGTATTGTTCTGCAACGTGCGCACCAAAACTGGAAGTTGCTAAAGCGTGCATCTAAGCTCCTACAGAAGACTTTGAAAAGGCTCATCATCCAGAACAAGCTGTTGCTAAACGTTGGACCTCAAACACCTCACAATCCAAAATGTTCTGGCAGCAGGGTCTGGACGGCGGTTCTGAGCTCAGCTTTGGTGGCAACTAGCCGAGTGTGTCCATATTGGAGCGCTGCATCTTTCAGCGTGCTTCAAGGTTTGGAGCTGAAAGCTTGACTTGATGTTATGGTTTTATGGTGTCTTTTTGGTGGCTTTGGCAGGTAGACTGCGAATCTAGACAAGTTTCATGAACAGATAATCAATGCCAAGGGGTGTGGGCGTCACTGGATCCAACCTTCACATTTGCACTTCCGACCCAGACTTTGGTTCATGAGTTGGCTTTTTCGGGAGAACCCACATGTGCAGGCCTCCCCTTCTAAAAGGCTCCTTTTCGGTTTACCCGAAGCAACCACTAGGCAAGCTTCCAAGTAAGTGGCGCTTCAATGCAAGGTTGCCGGCCTGCAGCTAGCGGTGAGAAGGCTGTTGACCGACCGTCTAGGGGCTATCGGATATGCAGGGCCCATGAGGACTTTCAGGTTGCGGAATGTTTAGAACCTTTACTATTGCTACCCCTTTTTGTTTTTTTTTGGGGGGGGGTTTGGGCTTTCGCTCGGTGTGGCAGCTTCAGTTTCATAATAGAGTGGTCGATGGTGTTTGGCACTTGAAAAATCTTGGACAGGCCTGCATGACCTTCTTTCCACTGTCATCTTACCTGGCAGCGAATGAGCGCGTGACACCTTAAGTGTACATATGTGTATCGTTCGGCATGCTTGAGTCTGCGTCCGGTATACCTCAACAATGCCCTGCCTGATGTTACAAACGTAATTTCTCAGAAGTAAGCTGCATCCCAATTATTTGTTTGGCGCCTGCTTGGAAGTTTCCGCATGAAACCTACATCAGCCGGAAGCTTCCAGGAGAGGATATTTGAAACTGGCATCTCGCTTTACATGCAAGAGATAGAGCAGTAAGAGTCTTCAACGGCCTACGTTAAAGAGCTGGTCTCCACATCCTTGCACCTGGTCAGTTGAGCTTTGAAGGAAGGCGCCTCTCCGGCAGAGCTCATAGCTGCAGTCTTGCAGAACTGGCCTCAGCTGATGCAATCGAGGAAGCACGAAAAGGGTTGGAGCAGGGGTAACGGATTTGGAGCAGAGGGTTTGAAATCTGTGGGGATCATGCCTTTAACATGAGAGGGGTGGCATTGCTTTTCCATCCAGCTGACTTGCATGAACGTTTCAAGGCTGACTCCGATGACTAGGCACATTCGCGACTACTCATGCTTCTTCGAAATAAGTTGACAAGACAACGGATTACCTTGCAATCATAATAGGGAACTGCTACCCAATACTGTAGCATTCAAGGTATACATCGACCGTAGACATGTCAGACTGGACTGCCTCAACTGCCTCGGGTGGCAACTCTGATTACTCCTTCTGGGCCAACTTGTAAGAACCAACTGATCTACGAGGACTGTTCATCCCAGTCATGTTTGCCAAGCAGTCTTACCAAATCGCGTTACCCAACTCAAAGCTCCAGATCCCCCAAACCCCTTGGGCTTGAAACCTTCAATGCTGCACTTATCCCCGTTGAAGCGATCTCAATACGATTGCTGATTTTGTTTGTGGTAGTGCACCATTACTGGTGTCGCTGCCCTGCTACTGCCATGTCAACGCCTCAAAGTCAACATTGTAAGCCTGAGACTCGTCTCAGGCTAACTCCAGACCACCTGAGCAAGTCTGCGGCGCTAGCCGTTTTTCCTGGCCAGGCTCTGACAAGGGTTTTAGGTTCCGGGAGACTTCTGATCTATTTATTAGATTGCAAATGTTTGTCTTCCAACGGAGCATGTTTTGATTCATCAGGGGTTTCGATAACAGACAACGAGTGGTACGCAACAAGCATGCTCATACATAGTAATCTTCTCATAGTCGCTGCAAACCGGCCTTCCCTTTATAGTGTCAACACGAAACATTTCGGAAGTCATTGCTTGCTGCATATTGCAAATCCATAATAACAGCATCCATACCGTGCATATTACATGTGTGCCATTGCAGGTGAAAAGTTATGTGGGAGTCACGTTGACAAGTTCAGTGCAAACATACGGGAAGTGTGAGCTGCGCAACGGAGTCCCGGCCTCCGAGGACACTTTGCAGACAAGAGCCTTGAGGCCAACATGTCGCGCTGCCTTGCCCACCCCAGAAACTGCTACGAACGGTTACACAGCGGTACTGCACGCCCGTGACCATGCACGAGCTGGAAGCTTCGAGTTTGGACTCGTGGAGACAGAGTGCGGCCTTGTGCTCCTGCTTTAGACATCCCTGCAATCCTGCAAACTCAACAAAAATGGAAGCCGAAAAAGCCTTGATTTGGCATTGTTTCCTTGATAAAGTACGTCGGGGGCATTGCGTGGACGTTGGGACAGGGAGGGTCAAAAAATGCTTTGAGTTTCTTGACTTGAAACCCTCAACCCAAAACCGCCTTGATGGAACTGATCCAACAGGTGGCTCCTGCAAGCCATTGGGACATGCCCCTGCAGTCGGGATCTCAAAGGAGCTCCCCCTGAGATTACGGATCGGCAGAA